ACCCGCGACACATACCGCGACCCACCCCGCGACCCACCCCGCGACCCACCCCGCGACCCAATCCGCGACCCAATCCGCGACCCACCCGCGACCCATCCCGCGACCCACCCGCGACCCACCCACCCGCGACCCACCCGCGACCCACCCCACGACCCACCCCGCGACCCACCCCACGACCCACCCGCGACCCACCTGCGACCCATCCGCGACCCACCCGGCGACCCACACCGCGACCCACCCCGCGACCTTCCCGACCTTCCCCGCACCCCGCGACCCACCCCGCGACCCATTCGCGACCCAATCCGCGACCCACCCGCGACCCACCCCGCGACCCACCCGCGACCCACCCGCGACCCACCCGCGACCCACCCGGACCCACCCCGCGACCCACCCCGCGACCCATCCGCGACCCATCCGCGACCCACGAGCGACCCACCCCGCGACCCACCCTCAAGGAAGGAAGAACCACCCGGACCCGACAATTGACGTTTACTAAACGGCCCTGGGCAACTAAACAGCCTTGTCATGTTCGATTCCTTCTTTGTGTGCATTTACTAAACGGCTGGGCTTGTCGGGGTGATGGTAATGGGGGTGGATTTTCTGCCCTCTACACCCGTGACCCACCCGCGACCCAACAACGACCCACCCGCGACCCATTTGCGACCCACCCGCGACCTACCCACAGTGGTTTAGCGAAAAAATCGGCGCCTGCGGTGGGCTCGTTGTATAATTTGTGAAACTTCGGCGCCTGCGGCGGGCCTCTCCAGAGTCTCGCAAACTGCCGACGTCCCCGCAGCCCCCATCACTCGTATCCGCATCTGCGGGGTGCTACGTGTTTACAAGTGAGACGAACAGGGCGACGAGCCTCACGACTTCGAGCAGCACCTCAGGGACCACCCCTTCGACCCTGAGCAGTTCGACGGCATCAGGCCTCGCAACGTTGCACATCAAGACGAAATCCAGTACCAGCAACCTCACACCTACGAGTGAGACTAGCAGTGCAACGAGAATGGCGGCTTGGAACACCACGCTGGGGACTATCGTGACACCGCATTACTCGATGCAGTCGAGCAACACGACGTCGAGTACGACGGGATACAGCTCCAACAGTTTCACTCCTACTAGTAAGGCGAGCGGTGCGTCGATCAGCACGTCTTCCAGCAACACGTCTGCGACGGCTACCTCGACTCTGAGCAACCCCACGGAGTCGCGTACCACGACGTTGGGCAGAACGGCGGGATCCAGCATCACCGCGTCTTTCAACACCACATCTGCCACCAGTGCCTCAACACTGAGCGGCGTGAGCAGACGTTGCACCACAGCATCGAACAGTACGACGGGAGCTGAGAAGATAGTGCACCAAACAGGTAGCGGAACGCGTGCAAACCAGAGGAACGGCCTGACCCCTTCTGAAGAACAGGTGTTCCTTACTCAAGCCGGACCCTGTACGTCGGCAGCCAGTACCAACGCCCTCACATTCAAGATTTTTTGTTTGGTCCCAGGAGCAAAGCATTTTTTGGGGGCACCAAGCAAAATTCTAAGAAACAAATAATATTTGGTCCCGGCTTCTCTCAAGCTGGACCCTGTACGTCGGGAGCCAGCACTAACGCCCTCACACTCTTGAGCGCGACGAGCAGCGCAACGTGGTCCACGGCCTGCCCCACCAGGGCTCCCGCACGCGGGCACCGGCTGAGCCTCGCACGCACGCCTGCGACGAGCAGCGCTGCGAGAGCAGCACGTCCACACGGCAGCACCTGCGCGACCAGCACCTGGGAAGCAGTGCAGCACGACGGCCTCGAGAACCGCCATGACGTGCAGAGCTCCGGGATTCAGCTGACTACCTACCAGACCACCCCAACCCATCCCGAAGACCCGAACTTCGGGTTGGCGGGGGGGTACGGGCTTCATTTGTGTTTTTTCAATGTTCCCCGACCCCCACCCCCACTAGAAATGGAGGGCAAATCGGGGCTTTCGGGTTGGGTTGGTGTGGTTTGGTGGGCGGTGAGCATCAACAACCTCACGCTGAGAGAGACGAGCAGTGAACGGAACACCATGCCCGCCACGACACCGAGAAACGCGACGGAGCTGAGCACCACGACGCTGCGCAGCACGGCGGGACTCTGCACCAACAAACTCATATCAACCAGTGAGACGACCCGAACAGCGACCACCACGTCTGTCAGCAACACACCAAGAACCAGCACCTCGACAAGGGACAGCGCGCGAGACCAAGCATCATGACGTTGCGCACCAAGACGTAACCCAGCATCAGCATCCTCACATCTACGAGTGAGACGAGCAGGGCAACGAGGATCTCGCCTCCGAGCAACACGTCCAGAACCACCTCGGTACAGTGGAACTGAACACTATGCAAGTGAGCAATTGGGACCTGCTCCGGGTCGCGGGCCAGCAAGACGGAGGCGAGCAACATCACGACGGGCACAGCCACAGGATACTATTAGCAGCCTCGCACCTACGAGAGAGACGAGCACTGCTTCGAACACCATGCACAGCTTACAGCAGAACGCCAGTGATCAGCACCTCGGCACTGAGACTGCGCAACGCGACGGAGCTGGGCGCCACGACGCTGAGCATCACGTGGCGATTCAGTACCAACAGCCTGACATAGATGAGGGGGACGAGCAGTGCAGCGAGCACTACGCCCCCAGTAGCAAGGCGGGTACCACCACGGCGTCGCGCATCAAGACGGGATTTAGCATCAGCAGTCCCATCTACGAATGAGACGAGCAGGGCGACGTGCACCACCCCTTCGAGCAGCACGTCCAAGACCACAATGACACCGCGTAGCACGACGAACTCGATAACTACGATGTCGAGCAACATGACGGGGCCGAGTACCACGACGTTGGGCCATACGACGGGATCCAGTACCATCACGTCTCTCAGCAGCACGTCGGCCGCCAGCGCCTCCACACTGAGCAACGCCAGGGGGCGGAGCACCACAGCGCTGAACCGTGCGAACAGCACCACAATCCACTTGTACAAGTGTGGCGAGTCCACCAAGGGTTGCGCACATGGGCACCAGCAACCCCTCGCACCCACGATGCAGTGAGGCCGATCATTCCGCGAACTACACGGGGGTTCGACAATGCGGATCGTTGCTTATCCGCTACTTTTCTCCCCTGGCCCTCCCCCCACCGCCAAGAAGGCACATGGCGACTACGCCTCTGGAGGTGGATGGCCACATAGCCCCTGCCCCAGACGCCCACGAATGGCGTGACGACCTGCGTGGAGTCGATGACGACTCACGGACCGGGCGCCCCCGAAGACCAGTGCCGTCACCACAACCCCATGGGCTGGACAGTGCTGCCGCTCGCCCAGGCCCTCAACACAACGCACTCTGCCAGGCCGACCGAGTGAGGCCAACACCAAGCCAGGTCCCGCCCGCAACCGGGGGAGGGTGAGGCAGCCAAAGGACGTGTTTGCCTCACGCCAAGGCAGTCCAGCCACCCTCCACCAGGCATGGTCGGCACGGTCAGCGGAGCCAACCCAGCTGTAGGCGATGAGACCAGAGTGAAGGCACCACGGCCTCGCGGCCCCGGCATCACCTACCAGGGTGAAGGCATCCGGCGGACTCCAGTGCAAGCCACTGAGCGAAGGCGGGCCACGCGGCGCCTCACGGTCACAAGTCTATCTGCCGACCCCGACCGCGGGACTGCCCGCACTACCAGTATCACAACGACGCTTTCGTGTGATACCAGGCTTGGTCACAAGCTGCGTAGCACCCAGTAACAGTCAGGACCCCGTCTTGACGGATCCCAAAGAGCACAGGCCGCCTGGAGCGGCCTTCATCAGCCCGATCACTTGCCCGCCTCGGGGCCTCTCCCCAGGTGAGCCCAAGGAGAGGCGCCTTCTCTGTCGCGAGCGCCGTATCACGCAGGCCAAAGCGTGTAAAGCCAGTCCCTCTCTGCTATGGGCGTCCAGTAGGGGCGGGACTCGTCCTCATCGCCACAACCCGTTTTTTTTTCCAGTCGCAATCTCCTTCCGACCGCGCCAGGGGGATGGGAAACCCCCACTCCTGCGTCTCAAGCAGCACCTCCCGTCAATGCGAGGGAGGCCTGAACGGTAGTTACGCCCCGCTAGGCCTGGACGACCTGCTGTCCGAACTGTTGCGCGGTCTCCTTCCTCCCCTTCTACCTCCTCCATCAACCCTCCTACCTCCTCATTCACTTGCATCTACATCCGCTCGCAAATTGTCTCCTCATTCACTTGCATCTACATCCGCTCGCAAATTGTCACAGGACACCTTTCCGACATCACCGCATCGACCGGGTGCTGCGCGCCCTTACGACGAGAAGCGTTCGCCAGGAGCATTGGCGTAATGACCGAGAGGGGCCGGAGTGGTGGACGTGAATCAGACCAGACCAGAGATGAAGGCGGGCCTGGACTCCACCACACGTCGCTGGCAGGCCCCGGATACCGAAGCAGCAAGAGTTGATGGGCCACGCCCCGATCGGCGATGCATGAGCGATCTGGGGTCGACGTTCCCCCTCCCCCCCGTACCTGAACCGATCCCCCCCCGTCGGCGCGACGATGACCCCCGAAGTCTCTGGAGGCCCCCAGAGATCTCCAGAACGCCCACGGAAGGCCCCCAGAAATCAGGAACGCAGGGGTGAGGGGCGGGAAGCCAATCCTCCATCCTCGATCCGTCGATCCTCGATCCTCAGTTCTCCATCTTTACCCCTCAACCTCGACCCTCAACCCTCGATCATCGACCCTTGACCCTGGATCTGTCGATCCTCGATCTTCCTCCTCAACTCTCGATCCTGAATCCTCACTCGATCATCAACCCCTGACCCTCAACCCTCGATCATCAACACTCGGTCCTTCGATCCCCAATCCTCGATCCTCAACCGTCGATCCCCGATCCTCGATCCCCCGATCCTCGACCCTCATTCCTGGCCCCTGCTCCACAGTGACTGGGGAGCGAGGGCGAGGACCGCAGATTGCACTCTCGACCAGCGGGCGGCGGGCGAGTCCTGAGCAGCTCGAGCACCTGGTCCCCGCCCACCTCGGAGCCCGGGAGGCCCTGGCCTCCGCGCGCGCGGGTCAGCATCTGCAGGAGCCTCGGGGAAGGGGGCGTCTCGCAGCAGGGGGGGGGGAAGGCCGGATCAGCTCGGCGAGAGGAAGCGTCATGCCCAGCACCGCAGTCTGCCCCCCCCCCCCCCCCCCCCTTCCCCCTCGGCAGGCCACAGGTATGGAGCCCCCTGGGAAGCAAACGCACCAGTGTTCCTATCCCGCCCTGCCCGGCGGCCAAAACCAGCACGGCCCCAGTCTTCCACCCTGCAGGGGAGGGGGAGGGGGGTGGGGAGGAGGCGAGACAGGGAAAACAAAAGGGACGCGAAAAAACACGAGGGAGGGAGGGGGGAGGTGGGGGGAGGAGTTTCTCTTCCACCTCCAGCAGACGCGGATGCGTCCCACGCAGAAGGCGCGACGGCCGCGCCCGCTCACGGAGCTGGCCGCCAGGAAAGGATGCGGCGAGAGCCTCTCGATTCCTGTTCCTCCTGCGGACCCCCCCCCTCCAAGGGAGGGGGAATGAAAGAGGACGAGGATGGGACGAGTCAGACACCACGGAACGGGGAGAGGAGAGAAAGTATGTGGAGGAGGAGGAGGAGGAGGACTATTTTTTTTTGTTTTCCAATGCGCACCGTCAACGGCGGGCCTGGTTCGCAAGAACCGCGCTGGGGGATACGTCAGCCCGATATTGGACATAAGGGGCTGCGTCGACGTGGCTGTGTTGCGGGAGGGGGAGGAGGACGGGGAGGAAGACCGAGTCAACACAGGATGCGTCAACGATGCTGCAACACACCCTCCCATCTGGAACCCCCGCGCCGTAAACCCTTCGAGTGGACGAGAATCGCAAAGCAGGACGCCCCGCCGCTGCATATCGTCGCATGCCCGCCAGGTCCGCAGGGGGCAATGGCACCTCCACTCCGGTCCCCTGCCGTTCCTTCGACATCCCATTATGAGCCTGCGCGCCTCGCTATGGTTGTTCGCCGCGTAAGCTTGCCAGACTGATTCTATCAATTTCGCTCTTCTCGCTTTCTCCGCCCCCCAAATATCTCTCGAGGACTGCTGCAATTTCCGCAAAGTCCTCGCAAACACCGTCGTATCCCTGTTGGGTCTGAGCGTCCACCACGCTCTGGTTCATTGCTTCATTCTTCTCCTCTTCCCAATCAAGTCTAGTCTTTCCTCTCGCACCGCCACGGCTGCAGGGTCACCGCAACTTTTCTGGCTCGGGAAAGTTGCGTGCATTACTACTCGCGCTGCTTTTCCACGTTCTTCCCATGCGCTGCCGGGCATAGGTTCTGACAGGAGCTGGCCCCAAGCACCCCGACCCGTTTCCAAGATTTCCTCCCCGAATTTGTGGAACAATTCGCTGCGCATCTTGCCGCTTGTGACGAACTCCACTCATGTTTCTTTCTGGCCTTCCCCCTGCCTCCTTGTTCTTTTGAGTGGGGGGGGATCTCTGTCTTGGTCCACTGTCAAGAATTCTGACTCCTGGGATCTGGTCCCTGCGCGATCTATTTCTTAATGTGGAGCTATTTCGCCGACGCCAGGAGGGTGGCACATCTCTTAACAACCTGCAGTACTGCCACTAGTATTGCCACGTGGTCAATGATGGTAGTTTTCCCCTTCGCACTGTAGTAGTTAGCTCCACCGTCGTAGTGTGGCGTTGCAATCACCAACTCGCGATGTGCACATAAACAACGGAATTGTTTGCCGTTGCCGTTGTTTGTTTACCTCTTTCGCCCGTGGTCCGATCGTGTGAAACCTGCCTCTCAATGTCCCCTTCCCCCCCCCTATCCTCCCACTGTGGAGCCCCCGCTGCCTGTTGATATCTCCTGCAACAATTACTGTTGATGCGCATGCTACCTTGTCGAGACAGCCTTCCGCCCAGTCCAAAGTCATGTGCGTTATTGGTCTATCGTTGGTGTAAGCTGGTGGTAAGTAAGTCGCAGGACTCGTCAAACCAAACTCCTGGCTCGCCATATGGTTCCCTTCAGCTCTTCCCTGCGTGGTCCCTGGCTGTGTCGGTACTTCGTGTCACTAGAAGTGTTACTCCTACTTATACCATAGCTGCATCCCGCAATGGTGAACCATGTGCGTCGTCTGTGTGTGTGTGTCGGATCTGATACTGCCCATGGGTGCGTACCTGTGAATAGTACCACGTCCCATCCTCGGAATTCCTGACCGACCCCCTCCAGCCTCTCGTTCGAACTGGCGGCATGAGGGCTGCAAGTTGTAATCCACCGACTCTGTCGGCGTGTGGGGTCTGTCCTGCCCCGTCGACGGGGAGCCTTTTTGCGCCCCCTCCTTCCCATCCTCCTCTCCAGTCGGGGGAATAGAGAGAGAGAGAGAAAGAGACATAGCACCCTTCCTCGTTCGGGGACTGGGTTCGCAGCTTGAGGGAAATCCATCCACGTCCTCATTACGTCACAGGGAAACCCCTTCAATTTGTCCTTTCCCCAGCGGGGGGTCCCTGGGGGGGGGGTCAAATTCGCATCGCATCTGTTCCACGCCGGTCCTTCTCCGGCGCGCCGGTCCTCCTCGGGTCCTCCTCCCCAGGGTCCCGGGGGGGGAGAGGGGAGTCAGATATGCATCCGTCCCTGGGGGTTCTCCTCCCCCTCCCCTCCCTCCCACGCCGGTCATCCTCTGGTCTTCCTCCCAAAGGGGGGGGCCCAGGGGGGAGTCCTTTTCCTCCTCCTCCTTCTCCTCCTCCTCTTCCTCCTCCTCCCCTTCCTGGTCGTCGTCGATGTCTTTCAGGGTCGGCGGCGCCGGCCTTTGTGGCCTTCACAATCTTCACAGTCGCTGCGAGAAACACATCAAAATAGTATGCTACAGAACGCCATGGTTCGGTGCCCCTTGCTCCGTCCCTGGTCTGTGAGATCAAGAGGGCAGGAGTCTGGTGAAAGTATGTTCGGCACACTTCCTTGAAGGTGAGTTATCTGGTCTCGGGTGCCGACGGCGACAATAGGAGGGGAGGAGGTGCCGACGGCGACTATAGGAGGAGGAGGAGGAGGAGGAGGAGGAGGAGGAGGAGGAGGAGAAGGAGGAGGAGGAGGAGGAGGAGGAGGAGGAGGAGGATCTGATCGGGAGGGGGGAAGGAGGAGGAAGGCTCAGACGCGACGATCACTTCGAGCAACGTCGGCGTAACGTAAAAAGAGGATGAGAAGGATGAGGATGAGAAGGATGAGGGTGAGGATGATGATGATGATGATGATGATGATGAGGAGGAGGAGGAGGAGGAGGAGGAAGAGTGAAAGTGGGAGCTTGGCGAATATTAAAATGATGTTTCGAGATTGGCGGATGTATCGTGGAGTGAAGGGCAGGGGTGATTGATGTTTGTGCGCTTGTGTGACTGTGACCGTGAAGTGGGGTGCAGGAGGAGGGGGAGGAGAAGGCGGAGACGGAGGAGGAGCACGAGGGATGGCCGAGGAGGATCTAGAGGGAGCCCGTGCAGCTGGGAGTTGTGGCTGAAGTACAGGCGCGTCCGCACGCAGGGCCTCTCGGCCGGCGCGCCCGTGGACTCCACTGCCTTGTAGAGCGCCTGGCGTCGGGCGGGCGGCGGCGGATCGGGGCACCCCCTCGGGTCCCCTGGCCACCTCCTGCCGAGCGTGGCCCTCGATCCCCTCGAGGATGGGGGGAGGGAAGCTCGAGGAAGATCGAGGAGCATCGAGGCGCGGGGGAGGGAGGCTCGAGAAGGATCGAGGAGGAACGAGGAGGATCGAGGAGGAGCGAGGGGGATCCAGGAGGTCGTGTCCAAGCAGTGCCGCAAGACGGCCTTGCAGTGTTGTGTGAGGTGCCCCTGGAGGCCTCCAGGGGCCTCCAGGAGGCTCCCTCCGAGGAAAGAAGCGGGAGGAGGGAGCATCTGCCTCGTCCTTCGCCTCCCTCTCCCTCGCACCACCCATGCCCCGAGGCCTCGTGCATCGGGGGGCTGGGCAGTCTCGTGGGTGGAGGCGCGGGAACGCGGGGGGGGGGGGGCGAAGAGGCGGAGAACGTAGAGGCAGGAGGAAGAACGAGACAGGCAACAGCACCTACACGTCCGAGCGCGCTGATGCAAGGGCGGGGGAGGGCAAGAGCAAGAGGACGAGAGAGGCACGCGCAACTCTCGACGAGCGAGGCAGATCACGAGCGAACGGAAGCACGCGCAAGGCGAATTCGAACGCAGGCGGGCTGCCGAAGGCGAGGCCAGAAGCACGCATCATCCTGAGCACGGAGCGGCCTGAGAGGGCGGAGTCGAGAGGGGGTGCGTGGCCCCTTGCCAGAGGGTGGGGAGAAAGGAGGAGGAGGAGGAGGAGGAGGAGGAGGAGGACTCCTCCTCCTCCTCCCCCTCCTCCTCCTCCTCCTCCTCCTCCTCCTCCTCCTCCTCCTCCTCCTCCTCCTCCTCCTCCTCCTCCTCCTCCTCCCCCCACCCCCTTGCCAGGGGGTGGGGGGAGGCAGGGCACTCCAGGTCCCCGCAGGAAAGCGCGGTGGGAGAGAAGGCCCAGAGTTAGGTCGGGCGTGTCCTCCGACGGGTGGATGTTGGATAAAAAAAGCTCGACGACTATTCGCACATTGTCGAACAGTCTTCAGAACAAAATACTGTCGCCATTCATTGCTTTAACTATGTTTCCGCATTCCTCTTATGGAAGGACATGCTCGACTTAACCTCAGAGCGGACGGGAAGCGAGATGAGAGGGGGAGAGGCGAGCTAAGCGCGCTCGCGCCATATCTGACATCCATCCCTACCACGCATTCCGTCAACTTGCGTTGATTGTTTCTCTGCCAGCCGACGCGTGTCATAGCGGACCTGGAGCTGCAAAGAGGACTCCAATCGTGTTACACTGGGGGCCCGGGGCCCGACCACAAGAAACCTTCCACAAGAAACCCAACCCTGAGACACCAGGACGTCCATTGATTTTTGGTGTGGGAGCGTAACGCTTTCCATAGCGAAACCATCGAAACCCACGAAACCCAGGGCACCCTGAGGGCAAGCAGGGTGCTTCTTGGCATGGGTCTCCACTGTATGCGTAGTCGGAAGACGCGGAGCTGGAGGTGTGTGGTCTCGAGCGAGTGGCCCGCATCGTCCCGTTTGACGGGGTCGCCGGGGGACTGTAGCAATTGCTGAGTTTAGCAAGCGCGCGGTGGTCATTGGATGACTCCGACGTGCGGGCGGGGACAAGCGCGTGTGGCCCGCATGGCGTTTTGTGGCAGGGGTGTCGGAAAACCGTGCCTTCAAAATCGCCGTAAGCTCTGTCTCTTTGGCTGAACGAGCATGGGCTGTTCATATGTGGTTGATTGCCCCTTCCTTTAGATGATTTGACGTCCAATCGTTGTGTTACACGGTGCATTGTATCATTCGACGTGCATGGCCGGGGAGGCGATACTGGTATGGCTGGGAAGATAGGTTAGCACATGCCCGATGAGTGATCGTTCGTGCAGAACTAGCATGGGACGCATTCTGGGGACGTGATTGGCACCTCTTCCCCTCTTATAGGCCTCCTAGATGGGATCCGAGTAGATGGGGTCGGAGGATCACGCCACATCGGCGATGCATCGCCGATGCATCGGCGACGCATCGGCGACGTCGGCGTGGACACATCGGGATCCACATCGCATCGCACCGCCTATGTACTGGCAATGCGGCGCGCTCCCCGAGCCCAATCTACTCGGACCCCATCTAGGAGGCCTACAGTTCGAGCTCGACCACAAGAGAACCTCCACAAGAAACTCAACCCTCAGACCCCAGGACGTCCATTGATTTTTGGAAGCCCAAAAAGCCCAGGGCACCCTGGAGGCGAGCAGGGTGATTCTTGGCATGGGCCTCCACTGTAGACCTCTACTACTACTGCACTCCCGAGGGGGCCGCAAGCCCGAGGAGTCCACAGCGCTCCTCCACCGCACCGCGCCGCGCCGCCGCGGCGGCCGACGCGCCCGAAGAGCCCTACAGTCGAGGTACTACCAGAAGGAACGCCAAATAAGGAACGAAGGGGCTTTTCTGGCCACGGTGGGCCTAGGCCACAAGCAAATCCCGCGACACAACTCTACGAACCGGCCCAAATCACCGAGACCCAAAGCGCTCCTTATGTCAGCGCCTTGGCTGTAATATAGGCTGTGGACCTCTGAGCCCCCCCCCCCCCGGGGGCCTCGTGCTTCTGGAGGTGGGCGGTCTCGTGGCCGAGGTCCTCCCCGGAGGCCACGCGCAGGTCCCAGCGCATCTTGCTCAGGAGCGCCACGCCGTGGCCTCTGGCCCTGGGCGCCGCGGCGCGCTCCTGCGCGGGCGCCCGGGAGGGAGGGAATGAGGGGAACCCAGAACGGCGCAAAGACTTGGGGAGGAGGAGGAGGAGGAGGAGGAGGAGGAGGAGGAGGAGGAACAGAAAGGAAGAGAAGAAACAGAAAGGAGAGGAGGAGGAGGAGGAGGAGGAGGAGGGAGGAGGAGGAAGGAGGAGAGGAGAAACAGAAAGAAGGAGGAGGAGGTGGAGGAGGAGGACGAGGAACAGAAAGGAAGAGGAGAAACAGAAAGGAGGAGGAGGAGGAGGAGGAGGAGGAGGAGGAGGAGGAGGAGGAGGAAGATGGAAGGGGGGAAGCCCAGACTGGCCAAAGACGGCACGAGTGGCCCCTTGGCAGGGCCCGGAGACGGCCCAAGGGGGACCAGGACGGCCCAAGGAGGCCCCCAAAGAACTCTCGAAAGGCCAAGGACGGCCCAAGAGCGGGAACCCGCAGGGACCTGGGGGGGTCCCCTCCTTTTCCTCTGCCTCCCCTCCCCTCCCTTCTGCTGCTGCTCCTCCTCCTCTTCCTCCTCCTCCTCTTCCTCCCTCCTCCCCTCGCTCCTGAGCGGCGTCGGGAAGGGGGGGGTGAGGGAGGGGGGGAGGAGAGGGGAAGAGGGAGTAGGGTGGGGAAAGAAAGAGGAAGAGGAGCAGAACCCCACAATGAACCTAGGATGTGTCAGCGATGCTGCAACACACACACACACACACACACACGCATACTCACACTCACACTCCGATCATCCCAAGACACCTCCGCTTAAGCCCCAAGACGTATGCATTTCCACGCCCCTTTGCAAGATGAGCGCCCGATGGACGCGCCATGCAAGCCAGAGCCCGGCTTTGAAACACTTGACCACCCTGCGACATCCCTGTAACTAGTTATGCCCACGGCCTGCAAGATCACGAAACATGCGAATGCCATGCTAGTGCCGCCATCGGAAACAAAGAGCCACCCTCCATTCGTGCAACTGTTGTACAGCTAATTGATTCGCGGGTCGTACAACGGAAGATGCGTGAAACGAAAACAACGCTTTAAGAAGAGAGCAACCTCGATCCGTGCGACCATTTCGCATTGATATGATCCCAGAATTTGCAAGGATAGCCCTCGATTGAAAAGAAGCCGACGCTCACTCGTGTCGCTGACGTACGCTTGGCTATATGAATTGGGCCGACAGAGGCACAGCTCGAAAGCTGCAAGCCATCCGTCCACATATATCTGGTACACACTGGTAAGGCGAATGCGCGCGGCGCTGAAACTCTAGACCGCAATATGAAAAGAGCCCACCGTCTGTCCACGTATATGCAGCGAACTTTTGAAGCAAATATGAGCACCGCTGAAGCGGAATCCAAAAATTCGAAAAGACAAGCCCACAATCCGTGCACGTGTTGGGGACGTCAAGATTCGCTATGGGAAGCTTCCTGAGGTACCCAGCAAAACGTAAGGCCCGCCTGGCCACCACGATTGGTGGTGCGACGCGCATGAGGGAACCAGATATAGGGAAGAGGGATGGAAAAAAGGAGAAGCATGGGGAGAGGACGAAGATGAAACGAACAGCTGCAGCAGGAACCGGAATTGAAGGCGCAAGAGGAGCAAGACGACCAAGGGAAGGCGGAGGACGGGAAAGGAGGAGGGTGACAACGAGGAGAGATGACCCAGATCCAGAAAAGTTGTCTGCGCTGTGGCGAGAGTTCCATCCTGAACGACGGGAGCAACCCCCCATCCTAAAACTGGCCCACTTTGGAAGGACCGAGAACCTTCGGATTGGCAACACACATAGGAGCAAACAGCTCAGCGGCAATTGCAGGCGGCGGGAAGGATGGGGAGAAGGACAGCGAACACGAAGGCGCCGCGGAACTGTCCTGGACGGCATCAGCGGCCGCCACAACGTCGCAGAGCGCCTGCATGGAGGGAGGGGTAGAGGGCGAGGACGAAGGAGGAGGAAGAGAAGGGACAAACAAGAGAGTGTCTCGTGGAACCTCCCCTAGAAACCCGCCGTGTTGGGTGGGTCCGTGGGATGCACGACGTGATGGCTGACAGACGGGATATATGCTGGGAGGATTATGATTAAACAACTTTTCGTGGGTCGGAATGCTGTGGCGGTCCAGCTGTTCTGTACGGCGCGAGGTGGTGGGAACGTGGTGGTTCTCATGGAGTCTTTCCAGAAGAGCGCAAAGCCGTCAAGGAAGAAGACGAATAGACCGAATGGCTTCGCTCGCAGCCCCCCAGAACTTAGCCGAACAACCGAATATGGTTCGAGGCATTTCTCAAAGCCTTGCTCTATCCTGTTGTTCCCAAAAAAGAGCCTTTCACCTTGACACGCGATGCGTCTCCCTTCATAGATTACTTGCTGCGCTCGACAGCGGAACCCATCAAACTTGCGACACCAAAAAAGGGTAATGAGAAGGTGGCCATCCCCTTTTCCGGGCCCCAACACTATCCATGTGCATTTGACGGCCACACACTGCCCGAGAGAGCTGCAACTCTAACGGCACCTTTTGCGCCACTCGGCAAAAACAGCCCATCACGCTCACCAGATCTGGCAGGTCGAAGAGCGACGACCCAGGTCTGCACGACGGCCGCACACAAGGGCACTGCATCCAGCTGCTTCTGCAAAAAGCAACTCTGGCTGCACGCGCACCGACGGGGGCCCCCGGGGGCCCCCTGGAGGGAAACGCAGCTCGAAATCACCTCCTACCGTCCGACAGGGGCCCAGCGGCGAGAAAGGGTGGCACGGCGTGGGGCGGACTGGAAGCGGGAGGAAGGCGGCGAAGGAAGGAGGAGGAGGAGGAGGCGGAGGAAGAAGAGGAGGAGGAGGAGGATGAGGAGGAGGAGGAAGGAGTAGGAGGAGGGGTGGCGAACAAAAATCACCGGCGCGCCCCGGCAGCACGCGGGAACCGCAGCTCGAAGCCACGTCCTGGGATCCGCCGCTGTCAGCAAGATGGGCCCCGGCAAGCAGCAGGGGTCGGCGCTCCGATGCCAGCGAAAGGCGGGGCGGCGGCAGCACGGGCGGCTGCGGCGCACGCTCCTCTCATCGCGCGGGCTGCCTGAACCCCGGCCTCTTCCGCTTTTCGAATCTCCACCGCCTGAAGGCGGCCCAGCAGGCCCCCCAAGGCCGCCGCAGAGCGGCCCCAGAGGCCCACCTAAGAGGGCCCCAGGAACGTCCCAGAGGTTCCCAAGATCGCCCAGGAACGCCCCAAGCCGCCGTAGTATCCGTAGCTTCGTCGCGGGTGGCCCTTCTCTCCCGACCCCTGTTCTGGCCCGTCTGCTTGAAGTTGCTCCCCTCTCCCTCTCCTCGTCTACCGTCCCTCCTTTCCCTCGCCTTCTCCTCCCGTGCTCCTTGCTTGCTGTCTCCCTCTGTCCCTTCCTCGGCGACACGTAAGAGTGACCCTAGGCAAGAATGCCCTTTGGTGCGCGGCCTTAGGGGGGCCCGTGGGGGCCTGGAGCAACCGCGCAAGCCGAGGCCGCCAGATTGCATCAACGATCGGTGGGGCGCGCTTCGATAGATCCCTAGCGCCAGCACGCAATTGCGGACTTCCGCCAATTCGTTCCGGGCGCCCAAGAACACCCGCCCGAGGGCTCTGCGAAGCCAGACGTAATCGGGCGCCACCGCGGAATGTTCTGGCACGGCCGGGCCGCATCGCGATGACGGCTGACCGGGTCCGGCGTCAAGGCCAAAACCAGGCCGAAACTTGGCCCCCCCGCGGCCGCAAATAACTTCCAATAGTAAAGAATTGAGTTGTAAAGCGCGGAATGCTCGAAGTTAGTCAAAGTTCGTCAAAGCTAGTCAAAGCTAGTCAAAGCTATTCCAGGACGATTTGGGACCAGTCCCAAAGGGGAGAGCACGTCGCCCGCTCGACTGGGCCCCCCTTCGCCAAACGAAGCACGCGGCAGAATACACCGTGCATGCGTTGCGATCGATTGCGAGGGGCACACCCTGAATCAAGCGCGCTCTGATGCGATCGCAGACTGATGCAGCTTGCGCCGACACGAGGCCGAGCGCTCTCCTCAAGAAAATCTGTCCGACACCATTAGGGCCAACACGAAATGTCACTCTGGCCAAGGGTCTCCGAACTTCCCCCCTGGCAGCCCGCCTGCTTCGTCCCGCCGGCCCTGGCCTCCCGCCTGCGCGTTTGCCTCCGTCTGCTTGCTTCGCGTTCCCTTTCTCCCTCTCCGTCGCCGAGCAGGCCAGACTGCCGGGAGTAATGTACGGCTGCCGACTTTGGTACCTTCCTCTAATGCTGCTCGTGATCATGGACAGGCAACTTCTGTGCTCCACCGGTCGCCGTCTGGCCAGGCACCGTGAGGGCCCCTAGAGCGTCCAAGAAGGCCCCAAGACGACCCAAGAGGCGCCCAAGACAGCCCCAAGACAGCCCTAAGAGGGGCCCAAGAAAGGGCACATGAACTAACATTCTGAACCTTCCGCTCCAACAGGCACCCAGGAAGCACCCAAAGGCCCCCAAAAGGACCCAAGAGGCCCCCCAGAGGCCCCAACGAGGCGCCAAGAGACCCCCAAGAGGCCCAACAGACGCCCCAAGAGGCCCCCAAAACAGCACCCCAGAGACATACAATGTTTGAAAGGCGGTCGTTCCTCGTGATACATTGCCGCAACAACCGTTGCTTCGGTACTCCCCGCCAACCCGTTACGAACTCCCTCTTGTTCTGTGGGCGAAAACATAGTCACCGACTACCTGGACGAACGCGTAGTCACCGAACATGTCATCACCGACTACCGAGGCACGCATCATGCTTGAAATGACGTCCCACGTGATTGTACGTGTGCGCTATGTTTGCGCCCCGTTTGCATCCAAGTGCAAACACCCTTGTCAACAGAAGTTCTGCGAGACACGCTCGTTTCTCCGTTGTTTGCGCCACGTGCTGATGGCCTGAACTGTGTTTGGCGCTCCCGCGCGGATCGCCGACGCGGAATCCAGCATCCCACCTAGATATAGCTGGGCAAAGATGCAATGGAGGATACGAACGCCTTCCTTGTTCTCTTCCTGGCCACGAAAGCTGTCCCCTTCAGGCCTATACCGGAGCCGCGTCGGCGAAGAGCAGGCGCCCTTCGTCGCTTGCCATCACTCGGACGTCCATGCCCCGTACATGTGTCGGCTTCGTGCGACTTCTTCTCCCGAGGTGATCCAGAATGCTCCTCGATGGTCAGACCCCCGACGCCATGATTCTTTCATGACGTCGACCCCCGAAGGTCTGGACCCATTCCCCGGGGACTGGTTGCTCATCCCGCGTCGTTGTTTGACGGCCCCGAGGCCCGGCGAGGGCCCCCAGAGGCCGAACACGTGGAAACACCTTCCGTCGTGATTTTTTCGTGCCTCGAGGGGGTCGGTCTGGGCAGTCCTTGCCAGGAGGAGTGCTCACGCCCGAGCGATGCCCAAGGTCGGGCGCGAGCGCCGGCAGGCGCGGCGCCTCGCCGCGGCCGGAGGCCAAGATGGCGCCGCCAGGATGGCCGATCGCAGCACCCCCCGCCTGCGAGGCAGCCCCTTCGCCACACCGGACTGGGCCCCGCGCCGCTGTGAGGGGCAACGATACAGTCGGGGCGTTGACCTAAGGAACCCTAAATAAGGAACGAGGCCCCTTTTTTCCTAAGTTACACTTCGATTTCCCATCGAAAACACAAGGAAAACCTGAGGCAAGCTGTGAAACAATCAAGGAACACCGAGCCCCTCCCCAACGAAAAGGGTTCCTTCTTCAGCGCCCCGACTGTAGGGGGGGATCGGCATAGGGGAAAATGCATCGACCTGGAATCGGCGATGCATCGTCGATGGATCGGCGACAGGCCCCCGAGAGTGAGTCCGCACCTTCCTGGGCGGGTTTGGGGCTAGCGGGCCCCTATCGGCGATCAATGGGCGATGGGGGGTCGATGCCCCCGCCCCCCTTATGCCTATCACCCTTTCGTTGCCCCTGATGTCGGGGGCGCGCAAACATGGATTAGCAATCCCATGGATTTGCCGCGCGGTCGCCACATCCATGGATCGGGGGAGAGGTGCCCTCCCCAAGATGCGGCCGGTGCCGCCTCGCTCGGCGGCGGAGATCCGCGATTCCCCATGGAAGCGGGACCCGTCGCTAACCCACGCCCCCTTGATCCATGCTTGCGATCGCCTGACACTGGCGGGGTCACCAGCCGACGCGCCGTGCTGGCCAGTGAAGGACTGTCAGATCCACAGCAGGACGCCCCCTGGGAATTCGGCGTCTCCGCCGCCTCCGCCCCCCCAAGCTCCAGGGGAGAGGTGGGGCAGAAGCAGGAGCAGGAGCGGCAGAACCTGCAGGATCGAGGGGCGGCGGGCGGCGGGAAGATGAACAGGATCTCGGGTGGGTGGACGCGCGATTTTTGTTTTCGCCGCGCCCCCGCCGGTGCCCTACGTGGGGCCGTGGGTTTTGAGGGAGGGGGGCGCAGAGAGAGCACCTGACAAAGTACGGGGACCCAACACACACACACACGCACACACACACACACACACCGCTGCTCCGCCGACGTCTCCACAGGGGCTCGGTCTGACCAGGACTCCGAAGCCAGTGGAGCCGTAGTGGCGACGGACCCCAGGAGGCTTCCCCCCAGAGGCGAAGACTGGAAATCGCACAGTGACCTTGCCTCTTTACGAACACCTTGAACGCGAAAACGTGAGGAGGAGGAGGAGGAGGATCTTGGCAACAGATTTCTACTTCCGCTGGCGTCCGCCGGCGGGCACGCCCCCCGTTGTGTGTGCTTCCGCCCGCCCCCGCCGAGGGAGAGAGAGGGCAACACGACACTCCGATCCCTCCAGGGCGAGGCCCTCTCCCTGGAGCTCTCGATCTTACCCGCCACCGTGCCGCAGGGCACGAGCTGGGGTGCCCTCGGGTCCCCTCTAGTCCTCGGCCTTCGGCCCTCTGCATCGGACTGTTCAGGAGCCCCGGCCCCAACATTCGTGACCCTTCTGTGGTTCCCGGCCTCCCGCGGCCCCCCCGCGCTTCCCGCATGCTGACTTTACTCGAAGCCACGAGCGCCCCAAAACGGGCCAAGAGGACCCCCGGGGGCACTCTGACCTAGGATGGGCCGAAGGCCACTAGATATAGAATGAAGAGATTGACTTCATCCCTCCTCCCCTCAACGCATGCACGTTTGGGACCGGGTATCTTAAGAGAGCGGCCAGAGCCGCATCGTGCGCACGTAGGCGCAACCACTAGCCCTAGCCTCCTCCGAGCAAGGTTGTCCCCCGCTGTCCTCTCGCCTTGGCACCCCGTTTTTGAGTTCTTCTTCTACAGTCGGGAACTTTTACTTAGAGTGTCGCCACGGCGGCCCCGTGGACACGCTACGCCCTGCGAGCGGATAGCGCGTCGCGCCGCTCCGCGGGGCGGGAGACTCGGAAAGGCTGGGGGCATTGACACCTGGAGGCCAGGAAGTGGGTAGCGTGTCGGACCGCAGCGTGGTGGGTCAGAACCAGCGGAGCGACACTCTATCCGAAAATTCCCGATTGTGGCTTCTTTCCTTCTCCAAGCAAGATCCTCCTCCGCTTTCCTCTCACCTTGGCACAGCGGTTTCCCTTACTTATTGTTCTTCTTTGTATGGAAAACGGGGGGGGGCATGTGGGGGACAGCAAGCGGCCGCAACCACATCGGGGACACACCCTCGGGGATGTCTTGCGCATGCCTGCCATCGTCAGAACACCCAAACCAACTTACTACAGGTTGTGGTCGATGTGGTCGTTTCAGACGGCCAAATCGAATACAACCGTAGCCCAGGCGTTCCTAGGTCGGTGGGCTCTCCCCCCGGGGGGGGGGGCCCTCCAGAAAACTCCCCTTACGGCTGGCGTTGCAAATGAGGCGTGCAACATCGGCCTCCGAAAGACGCGCGACGCGACCCGTCGGTGCACGCCATCTCTCTGCCAGGGCTTCCTCGGTGCCCACTCTCCTCAAAGTGCCTGTGCTAGCGGCGCCACCTGAGCATTTTCTTAGGGTTGAGGGCTCAAGGTGAAATCCATATGGGCTTCTGCACCTAGAAAAATCAATCCGTCTTGTGGCTCACCACTCGCGCAGAAGGAAACCTCGAAAATCAGTCCGAGCGTCATTTCAGATCTCACCCTTTGCCCTCTACCCAAGAAGAATGCTCGGGCCACATCACACGCTATCTTGGGAAAACCAGAAGGTACCGATACCGCTACTCCCCAGACCTCTCCAGGGGTGCGTTCTGACCAGGATTTCGAGGCGAATCCAGCGGTGGTGACGAGGGCCTCCCAGGAGAGCGGAAAAGAGGAAAACGGGGGAAGGGTAGCGGTGTATGGGTACCTGTTCATGCTCTGATGTTCACCCTTTGCCCTCCACCTAAGGAAAATGCACGGGCTGCCTCGCACGCATCTTTGCAACGCCAGCCGTACTCGTGGCTGCGCTTTTGCCTGCTGCGCCAGGGGGCGCAGCAGGAGGAAGAGGAGGAGGAGAAGATGGAGGAGGAGAAGGAGGAGGAGGAGGAGGAGGAGGAGGAGGAGGAGGAGGAGGAGGCGGAGGGGGAGGAGGAGAAGAAGCTGGAGGAGGAGGAGGAGGAGGATGAGGCAGCAGCGAAACGCTCGGCGCGGCCGGGCGCCTCGCAGAGCGGCAGCGCCGCGCGCAGGGGCGCCACCGCGCGCGCCGGCACGGCCTCCACGTTGTGGCTGTGGTCGTACTGCAGGTGGTCCATCACGTGCAGCACCTTTCTCCCCAACCATCCTGTGGTGTTGGGTTCTCGCTTTGAAGAGACGGTCCCCGCGTCCCTCCTCCCTCCTTCCTTCCTCCCCCACCCTCCTCCCTGCGTTTCGCCCACCCAGTACAGCGTTCCGTGGCCCCATCGGGAGCTCCACCGAAGCCCTCCCATTGGTGGTCCATCGCGTGCAGCACCTTTTTGTTCGGATCCGGACTCGGAGAAGGAAAAGGTACCCATACCTCTGCCCCGTCGCCCGTGTTCCCCTTTTTGGGCCTCATGGGCCTCCCTCGTCGCCACCGCTGGATTCGCCTCGAAATCCTGGTCAGAACGCGCCCCGGGAGAGGTCTGGGGAGTAGCGGTATCGGTACCTCTTGGTTCCCCCAGGTCCATCACGTGCAGCAACTTTTTTTCCAGGCCAGACGGGTGGGTCAGAAGCCAGGCGAAGGTTGGCCCAACCCGCGGCTGCTAAAACACGGAGCTCCGGCAGACTGTGTTTGGTTCTTCCTGGGGAGCAGCCCATTTACTATTTCTAATGCGCTGAACTGCATGCCGACCGTTGTAGCAGCCACGGATTTGCCAGCCCTCGCCCAGCTTCCGAGCTGGGGCAGGCGGCGGGCAAAATGTCCATGCAGATACACTGCATCATGGAGTTCCGGGCCCCCTGTGCCAAAACACACCCGAGGCGCAATGGATATGGACCATATCTGCCCCCCCCCAAAAAAAAACATGCTCCCATGCCAGAATCACCGTCTCACGTCGTCGTCGGCCGCATCCGCTTCTAATGGCAGAGCAGAAAACCCACAGTAGAACTGACGTTGGTCCGCCGCCTCAGGGGAGGGCCGATTTCGGGCAAAAGGCCAGGCTATAATACTGCGTTGCCCGCAGCCTCAAAATGGGGCCGACTTCAGTTGCGGGGCTGGACTGCAATGCTGGCTTGTGCATGGGTGTTACGTGCGCCTTGGCAACCGTGCAAGCACACGGTGGGCCTCCCATAGGTGCCGTTGTAATACTGTGGGAGGCCCAACGGGCAAGGAATCCTCGCATCCGCTGCGGAAATGACGCCAGGGCGACATTGAGCCTCTAACCTGAGAGTTCAGCACGGGCTTAACGTGGGCACGGAATCCTCGCATACGATGCGGAAATCATGATTGGGTCTCTGACTTGAGCGGCTAAACATGGGCACGCAATGCTCGCACACTATGTGAGAGCCATGTTGAGCCTCTGACTTGGGAGGCCCGCCATGGGCTCAGGATGGGCACGAAAGGCTCGCATACTGTGTGGACTGTGTGGGGGGGCATGCTGAGCCTCTGACCTGAATGGCCCGACATGTTCACGAGCGATGGGGGAAACATGTAGAGCCCCTGGCCTGAGGGCCTCAACGTGCACTCTGAAGGCTTCAACGCGGCCTCAACAGTGCCGAGAAATCATCGACAAGTGCGCGAGGGTCATCGGGTCGACGTCGACGAGACAGCGGCGACTCGGGCCTGCAAATCTAAACCTGGAATATGCAGACAACCGCTGTAGAGGCCGGATCTCTACCATATCCACTGCGCCTTGGCCTTTTGGCGCCCCTCCCCAAAGAGCCCAAGACGCATGTGCAGCACCTTCTCCCGGACGGGGCGAGGAGAAACTGCTGGACTGCCACCTGTCATGCCGATGTCGCCTCAACGGTCCATGAACATCGCTGGGATCCTCTAGTTACCTCGAAATGACGGCGCCCTGGGACACACAAATTCGCCGGCCCAACGGGCCAGAGGCGTGCTAAGATCTCCGGTAACTGCTCAACAATATTTCTAGTTCGCGCGCGCGGGGCGGGCCCTGGGGGTCCCCGGAGATAGGGGGGGGGGGGGCGCCATGCTCCGCTTTTTCCGGCGCTTTGGAGGAGGGGGGGGGCCCAAGAGACCCCCAAGGGGTTCCAAGAGGGCCCCGAGTCGCCGAAAAATCGCTCCAAGACGCCCGAGATGGCCTCCAGACGGCCCAAGGTGTCTCCAAGACGCCCCAAGAAGCTTCCAAGAGGCCTCCCAAGAGGGCCCCAAGAGGCCAGAATCGTTGATTTTCATTGGTTTTCTCAGGGTTTTTAGCGTTCTTGCCTTTTCGGGCGTCCGACGCTCGAAGACGGCCCAAGAGGCCCCCAAGTCCGTCCCAAGACGGCCCACGATGCTTCCAACACGGCCCAAGAGAGCCCCAAGACGGCCCAAGAGGGCCCCAAGACGGCCCAAGAGGGCCTCTGGACAGCCCAAGAAGGCCCCAAGAGAGCCCCAAGAGGGGCCCAAGAGGGGGACCACGAACCGAAAGAACCGAGCTTTCCGCCCCAAGAGGCCCCCAGGAGGCCCCAAGAGACCCCCAAGGGGCCCCAAGAAGCCCACAAGAGGCCCAAAAGAGGTTCCAAGAGGCCCCAAAACAGCTCCCCAGAGGCCTCCAGACTGCCTCCGGCAGGCCCCCGGTTTCTTCCGCGGCACCGCCCAGGGCGCCACCGGCAGGATGTCCTCCGTCTCATCGTTTTCCTTCAAGTTATCGCCTCTTCCTCATTCTCCTCCTCCTCCTCTGCGACCTCACTCCTATCCCTCAACGATCGCGTCACCGAGTGCCTCTTCTTTGAAACATCCTCGCTCTTCAAACGCACATCCATACACACATGCATACATACCTACATTTAAACACATTTGCATACATAGAAAAACAATCTTCCAGACATACATACTTACATTCACACACATACACACATATTATCATACACACATACAAACATACATACAAACTAAATACATACATACGCGCACAAGCATACATACATACATACGTACCTACACACAGGCACACATGATCAATGCATGCATACATGCATGCACGCGTACATACACACACATATATCGTGAAACTCACCGCGTGCTCGAAACTTGAGAGAGACCGCGGGAAGTCGAGAGAAGCCGCGGAACGAGGCCTCTACTACTACTACCACTACTACCACAACCACTACTACTACTACTACTACCACTACTACTACTACTACTACTACTACTACTGCTACTACTACTACTACTACTACTACTACTACTAATACTACTACTAGTACTACAGGAGCGTTTCCCAACTAGTATGTGTGTGTGGGTGATGCTGTGTGCGCATGTCTGCGGCGCAGGTTAAGTGGTGTGACTGTGTGTGTGCGTTTGAGTGTGCGCCCATAATTTCTGCGTCTGGAGAATAACCCCGAGCGACCCGGATCGGCGGCACTGGCCGAAGGCCACTACAATATTTCTAGTTCGCGCGCGCGGGGCGGGCCCTGGGGGTCCCCGGACGAAAAGTACCCCGGCAAGGTCCCGGCAAGGTCCCGGCAAGGTCCTGGCAAGATCCCGGCAAGATCCCGGCAAGGTCCCAAGGTCCCGGCAAGGTCCCGGCAAGCCCTCCAGACGGTCCAAGAGTGCCGGGAGACGCCGAAATATCTCTCCCAAACGCGTGCGATGGCCTCAAGACGGCCCAACAGGCCTCCAAGACGCCCCAAAGGGCCCCAAGAGGTCCTTAAGCGGCGTCCCGAGAGGGCTCCCACTAGCAAAAATCGCCCCATTCCCTTAGGAAAACGTGCATTTTTAACGTATCCGCCTCTTCGTCGTTCACACCTTTCAAGGCGGTCCAAGAGGCCTCCAAGATCACCCCAAGACGGCCCGAGAGACCCTCTAGACCGCTCAAAGACGGCCCAAGAGCGCTCCAAGAAGGCCCAAGAAACCCTCAAGAACTCTTTTTCGGAGCCCAGGAGGGCTCCAAATCGGTCCAAGAGGGGCCCGAGAAGCAGCCCTCCAGACGGTCCAAGAGAGCCGGGAGACGCCGAAATATCACCCCCAAACGCCTACGATGGCTTCAAGACGGCCCAACAGGCCTTCAAGACGCCCCAAGAGGTCCCTAAGCGGCGTCCCAAGAGGGCTCCCACAAGCAAAAATCGTCTCATTCCCTTAGGAAAGCGTGCATTTCTAACATATCCGCCTCTTCGTCTTTCACACCTTTCAAGTCGCTCCAAGAGGCCCCCCAGATCACCCCAAGACGGCCCGAGAGACCCTCTAGACCGCTCAAAGACGGCCCAAGAGCGTTCCAAGAAGGCCCAAGAAACCCTCAAGACGGTCCACGAGGCCCCAAGACGGCCCCATGATTGAGGTCCACAGGGGCAACCTGAACGGAAATTTTGAGCCTCCCGCCCAAACGCGCCCCCGAAATGCCCCTGTCACAGACGAGAGGACATGTGGTGCAAAACGGCACCAAGGTGTGCAGAGAACGGATGAACTCTTTTGGGCAACGAGGGCCAGGGCGAGCAATCAACTCACACGCTAAGCCTAACGGCTACGATACAGATCCAAGAGGGGAGAGGCTCGGAAGTAATCTGAAGGGCCTCTGGGTCTCTCGGGAAACAGCGGGTCCTATTTTCGTGGATCGAAATCCGTAGTCCGTAATCGATGCGTAAGCTGGAAGCCCGGGTTCTAGTTCAAGACCTTCTCTATGAGACCTTCCCCGGTGACCTCCTGACTCCTCGGTCTTCTCCTTCCTCACCTCCTCGCTTCCCTCTACCTCTTCGTAGCCTTCCTCAAGGACCTCGGGAAAGCAATCGGGGGCAGGAGCTCCGGGCACCTTAGCCTGCGCCGCCAACGCCTTACGGGGCGCAGCCCGAGAACGAGATTTCAAAGACAGGTCCAACGCACGTTCTGAGCAATGACCATGTTCGTCCACTAAGCAGAGAGTACCACGTGTGAGCACATCGTGCAGAGCAGCGTTACCACGACTGGGATCGACCTTTGTCATACTATCCGCGGGCATAAGACCACGCGGCAACCATCTCAACTGGGAGCCTATACTGGACAAAGAGTCACGCACTACCGCCATTTCAATAGCATTGCGACGATCGGCGCGGGATCCCGCGCTGTTCTTGCTCAAAGTATCAAACGCGCTTTTGGCATCCACCACCGACAGAGACGACGCCGAGTCGCCTAATTCACAGTCCATCGAGAGGACCACCGAAAAAGGGCCGG